GCACTGCTTCTCTGTGCGACTGTGCATCCTGGGAATGTACTGTATAGTACTACGTAGCCACAGATGTACAGTAGTATATATAGGGGACCTCTGTACCCCCAATCTACAGTTCAGTTCACTCGAACATCTCCTCTCATCGCTCTAACAAGCCTCTTACAACCAACAACCCTTCTAGGTGAGTTGCAGGCTATCCGCTGTCGTTGCCACCCGTGGGAGAGGCCTTCGCCCCCCGGGTTCAACATGGGAGGATTACCCACTTCACTCTACATGTCTAGATCATCATTCACTGGCACTGGCACACTTGAGCATTATACCTTTTGGTGTGTGGGGCTTTGCACACATATTAACCCGACTCTGTCCATTTTTTGGGGAGGAAGACTGAAGTAATAGACATTTGCTTCCATTTCACGCATGTATATGTGTAATACTGCAGAGACTGTGATGCTCGCTCTATGGCGTTCATCGCATGCAACATCTTGCCGTATCTGGAATGTGAGCTTGCAAGTCAAGCCGTGGCTGGGGCCTGGCCAGGGACTCGGCTTAGCTTGCTCCGGCTTGATGATCCAGCTCGATCCAGCGCGTCAGCTTGGCTTAGCTTAGCTGGCTTGGCGGCAACACTATGTACAGTACCCATCCAAACCTCCCACACTTTCACAATTCCGATGTGACATCTCCTTTCCCTCTCCGAGTCCGCCTGCATTCCCTTCAAGGCATTTTAAAAGGGGTCTCTTCAAGAGAGGTTCCAACACATTCCAGGACGGCGAACAGCCGCATGATACCCTGCTGATCACGGTGAAGTGATCCGGTCATACAGTAATACGAGGTCTATCAGGGAGGCTTATCGTGTCTGTGATCGTTCTCATCCCTAGTCGACCCCGGGGGTCATAATTCGTGGTCGAAAGGCTTCCTGCGAACCGGTGTGTGCGCTGTTGTGTTGCCACGGTCTTTGGTGTGCAAGTGATGAATGCGACAACGTCGAGAAGATACTACTTGTCAGTGGATGTGAGACTTACGCACATAGCCTCGCTCATCTGCATATCCACGCGCGTGTCCGAACCATCCTCGAAGAACGTTGCTCACACATCTGCCGTCGCAGGTTCTGACGCCGAAGGTGCTGACGGCGGACGAGCGGCTGCGGACGAAGCAATTCATGCTTGAGTCGCAGCTCTTAGACGTGCGCGAAGTGGTGGTGAAGAAGGATGGTGAGCCGACATGCTCAAAGCTGAGCTGGAGGCGCAGTGGGACGACACGGAGGCGATGATACCTATGTGCAGCTCAATTTACCGCACTCTGCCAGAAACATAGTTTGCGCTCGACCGTGCGACGCGTGTCGAAGCCTGCCTCCGCGAGTGCGAAGCTGAGCTGCATGAACCACACAGGAAACCGACTGGGGACGAGAATGGTGCGGACCTTGTGGAGGGCGAGATTGTGGAGATGAAGCGCGAGCCTCGTCGTCGCTGCTGCCGTCTATGGAAGTGAACCCAGCTCCGAAGTCGTGGGATGCGTCCCCCTCCATGTGCACGATACCAAGCTCGCCGAACTTGAGGCCGGAGACCGTCTTCTTGCCGCTCTACGCATCGCCGTTCATACACTCCGCGAACGGTACCCAGACATAGCGAACAGCCGTCGCTCGCTTGCTCATTTCCCCTTCCGCGAGTTTTACGTCGACGACCGTGGCGTCCGCCATGAATTCACGTATCTCACCGCTATCGACGAGAAGAGAGTTTTCCGGGTGGAGACCCTCGATACCGAGACGTCGAGGCTGGTCGTCAAGTTCAGCAGGCAGTATTCAGAGGCTGCCCACCGCGCCGCGCACGCCCTCGGCCTCGCGCCCGCGCTGCACGCCGTGAATAAGGTCTACGACTGGTACATGATCGTGATGGAGGACATGCCCACAGGCTACACCACTATGTGGGATCTGAAGCGGGAGTCCTCCTCTGCTGCCATGTCGCTGGAGGGCGCTCAGGACACGATCAAAACGAAGCTGGCTGAGCTACACCGTGGCGGGTTCGTCCACGGCGACGTGCGCGACCTCAACGTGCTCGTGCGCGATAAGAGCACCGCAACAATTGGCCCAGATGTCTTGCTCGTCGATTGGGACTGGGCGGGGGTCAAGGCGGAGGCGAGATACCCTTGCAACGTGAACCAGGAAATCGCGCGTCCCAAAGGTGCTACAAGCGGGGATTCGATTACGGAGGAGCACGATATGTGGATGGCCGGCCGTCTGATTCAACGGGTGTAGAAGACATCCGCTTGATAGGGCAGGACCGCAGGTATTATGGCACACGGTTCGACGTACAACACGACACATCTGGTCGCTGAATTGGTGTTTGACGTAGTTTCAATATAGTAAGACGGTACATGACGAACTTCGCCATACGTGAGCTCTTGGTGGAGCTTCTTTTTAACCATGTGGATTGAATATATGCGCCATGATGGGCTGGGGTCACAGGGCGTCCGGATTAGGGAACGCAAGTTATTCACCATGTCAAGATGACCTATGCGCATATGGAGCTGAGCTTCTCCTGAGGAACATGTAACCAACAATCATATTGTGATGGACGAAGGTCGCTTCGTCGAAACCAGTCGACAATACGTACAGAAAACCACAACTCTGTTCGATCGATACTATTCATGTACGACTCCACTGCGGGGACTTTGGACCACCAACGCGTCACCCCTTGCACCACTGTGGCCATGTATTGACTTTTGGCTGCACATAGCGATGGCAAGCTGTGCTCATGTGGGCAAATCCGCCTTCTGTCACTTCCGAGTCGTTCGATCTGACGAACTCGTATAAGACAGTAGGCCGCATTGCAAGAGCTTCTGTTGACTCGCATGCCCACCCGAGGCCACCCACGCCTTCAAAACGTCAAAATGCGATACTTCCGCACATCTTCGTCCTGTTCGAACAAACCGCATGTGAGTGCCGACTGAGGCAAGACGCACCGTCCTAGAGTTGACCACACTCACGTCCGAAACCACAACAAACGCGTCCTCCGCCAACATCACCGCCTCGAACTGCCGTTCCTCATCCAAAGTCCCGTCCGACGACTCCTCGTCTCCAAACGGCAACGACGGCAGCATCCGCAGCCAATACCCCAGCCCCGTCGCCACCTCCTCCTTGAACACCCGCCCTGGCCGGAACGCCGTCATCTCTGTCATCTTCACGCCCCCGGCGTCCCACGCCCCGTCCGCAGCCGCCTCTGCCGAGTCCCCCAGCCCGAAACACCCCCCGCCCTTCAGACGTGCCCGGCGGATCGCGAGCTGGTTAAAGTCGAGCGTGAGCACCACCTTGCGCGAGCCACGCCACCGAAGGAGCCCGAACGTCGTCCCGTACACGTAACACACCCACACCCTCGTGTGCGTCTCGGGCGCGAGGAGCAGGCGCGAGCCCTGCGGGCCCCACTCTGTCCACCCGACGTCCCCGCCGCCCGTCTCTGCTCCCTCCCGCTCGACTCTCGCCACACGAGAGAGGAAGGTGGAGGTGAGGACGAGGGAGAAGATCCCGAACCGCGTCGGGCCCTCGTAGAGCTGCAGCGTGATCACCAACAGCCGGTCCTCGCGCGAGACGGAGAACGGCACGCCCAGGCTCGGGCTCGGCTGCCAATTTGGCGCGGGGTCCGAGCGGATCGAGATGTCCGTAACGATGAATGTGTCCCCGAGGCGCGGGTAGCGGAACGCGCAGACGTACTTGAGGTCCGTCGAGCATGTCGGCGCCGGGCTGCTCTCGCAGGGCGCAGGCGGATACGGGACCGGGTTCGCGTCAACGTCGACGACGATGAGGTAGGGGTCGTTGGGGCCTCGGATATTGTTGTCTTCGGTGAGCTCTAGCTCGGGAAGAATCGCGATCAGGATGTGGCGCGTACTCAGGAACGCGAACGAGGGCAGATCGGGTCCGGCCGTACACTAGTGGAGATCGGCGGTCAAAGGCTTGTGCAACATGAATGCAATGCAGCATACCAAGCGGAGTGCGCCCGTCTTCCAGTTGAAGATGACAAGTTTGTATATGAGCTCGTCCAGACCCGAGATCAGCAGGCCGAGGTTGTCCTCCGACGTCTGGATCGTGTACGTGCAGCGGCCTTCAGGGAGGCAGGGTGTGAGTATGCCGGTCTTCGATGCAGCTGGGTGTGGCGCCCCCGTCGAAAGCGATCTCAAATGCACGCGACATGTCACTTCAGACCTTCAGATGTCAAAGTCAATCGATACAGTCCTCGCAAAACTAATAGGAACGTAGGTTTCTGCGCCCGCGCGATCTGACCGCGACCGCGACCGCGACCGCAAGGGCCGGGATAGAAACCAAAACTCGCGCATGACGCGGCCGTGGTCGCCGTAGCCGTCGTCCGATGTGCCCAGGATGAAACTGACTACAAGAGGCGAACTCCTGCACAATCCTCGATCGCTGTATTGACGCCATGCTAGCGAGATCTTCAACATCTGCTGTGATTATTGTTCGGTGACCTCCATATTATTGAAACGGTGGGATCATAACTGTCTCAGGTGGGGGCGGGCTCGGCACACTTCCAGCCGAGAAAACCTGCTTGTACACGCGATCGCGAACAAAACAGGCTTTCTCGGCAAAGCTCGCCTTCGGGTAGTTCGAGACCGCGCGGGCGACCTAGCGCAGAAATCCACGTCAATAAAACCGAATGGAGCTCACCCATCTGGTTCCGAACAATGTTCGAGAACGATCAACAAATCCTGCGCAGAGTCCATCCCAAAGTCCCGGATTTTACAGCCCACGTCCTGGATCGTCCACTCCTTCCCCTTGATTCCTCGGATCGCGGAGGGTAGCTGCTTGAAGTGCAGCGTCCTCTCACCCTCTGCCTGGGCGAGGACGTTTCCGTACAGCTCCCACACGCCACCGCGGCGCATTGGGACCTCCTCTTTCGCCGTCCATGCCAGCTTTGTCCATGCGTCTTGGCGTCTGCGGAGGATGGAGAGGCGTTCGGCGGGGGTGAGGGCGCTGGGCGGGCCGTCTTGCATGCCTGCTGCGGCGAGCTCGACTTTGTAGTGCGCACGGACGTCTCCGTCGATGACAGACTTGAAGAGGGAGCACACCTGTATTCGGGGGCATGCGTGTGATGTACACCGGTGTTAGGAGCGATGGAGGAAGCAGGAAGCGCAAAGTCAATCACCTGGCGGCAGCGGAGGAGATCGCGGAAGCCGAGGTCGAGCAGGATGGTGGCCAATAGTTCGGGAGGTAGAGACACGAACTGCATGGTCGCCGTTGCACAAGATGTGGCCCAACAAGCAAGATATGTCCGCGGGCCAAGCAAGAGAGCAATGAGAGCAACAAACGGAGAAAGAGCCTATGACGCCACTCAAAGTCGACCGACAACAAGCATTTCCCCGGGCGTTCCAGGACCAGATCTGAGATCGTTCAGGACCGTCTCGTACAGCGAGCACACACCGGACTCCGGCTTGCTCACTGTCACTGGCATATCGAGTCTCTCTCCGTACTCATCGCCGTCGTCGGCCATCCTCTGTTGTGCTCCTGCAAGCGTCTCGACTGGGTATCCGGCCTCAGAGCTCGAATCCCGTCGACAGGCTCCCGAGCTCCACGGTGACGACTACCACGACCTCCGAGCGGACTGTCGAGTCGAGCGGACACTCTTTCCTCAGCCTCTGCGCGCACTCTCTTCCCATCTCCCAAAAATGAGCACAGAGCCTGTTGAACTCCTCCTCGATGCGAACGGCAACCCTATCGAGACATGGGGAGGCAAGTTCGAGCGCAAGTTCAAAGAGAACCCGTTCGTCCCAGTCCGTACGTCGCACACTCCGACCCTCGTCCTCCTATCGCTCACATAGCCTCCCGCTTCTGGCACGCACTCTCTACGACTGCCCTCGCTGCGACTGCACGCGCATACACGCAGTCGCGGGCCTGACGACGGCCTCGCTCATTGTCGCCGCAAGCAAGCTCCGCCGGCGCGACAGCGTCTCGCTCAACCACTGGCTCCGCGTGCGCGTCGTCATGCAGGGCCTCACCGTCGTCGCCGTCGTCGGCGGGTCTTGGTGGTACGGCCAGATGAAGCACCAGAAGGAGGCCGCCGCCAAGATATCGGCCGTCGACCAGGACCAGCTGATCGAGCGCGCGGCGTTTGAGAAGCGGTTGCGTGCAGCGGAGGAGATGGACCGTTTGGAGAAGGAGGAGGAGGCGGTGCTTGCGAAGCAGCGGAGTGGGGGAGGCGGGGGGAGCACGGGGTGGTTAGGCGGGTGGTGGGGGAGCGGGAAGGGGTCGGCGTCGAAGTGAGCAAGCGGTCTCGCGTTACGAGTCGAGTTCGCAGGTTGGATTGGTATGTCGCTGTGAAGTTTACGGATGTGCTACACTCTCCACTCTGATTCATATATCGTACAACATCGAGCGCATGATTCATCACCTCGTCTCCAGGCCTCAACAGTCCCTCGAAGTGCCCTCCAGCGAGCGCTACGCTTTCATGCGCAATCTTGTTCGCCTGTCGCGACCGCAAGTGTCGGACGATAAGCATCTTGGTCTGCTCTTGCGTCACGAAAAATTCCGACGCCTTACGTCGGACTAGCCTCCATGCAATGTCGAGATGAAGACGATCTCGTCGTTGTTCTTCAACTGATAGTCACCCTCTCCCTCAAGTTCCCAATCCGTATCATTGATGAGGACCAGCACACCCGGCCGCCTGAAATGCGTTCTTGAGCATGGACCGCCTCGAAACAGATGAAGCCAAGGCTCACTTACACCGTCCCGTGCTCCATGAACAGCTCCTCGCGCTCCTTCAGTAGGTTGTCCCGCAGCCAATACAGGAGGTAGGTCACATCCGCCGGCTTCTTTTGAGACTCCTGCTCGTCCGGTGACGATGGCCCAGCCGAACTGGGAGCGGAGACGTGCACGAGTGCGGGGATCTCGATGCGATGTGACCGCTGATTTGAGAACAGCAGCTCAAGACCACCCCCGAACTCGATTCTCAGAGATAACGTCGACATGATGAAGTGAAGCAGTCAGACAAGGATCCTAGCGCGGGACAGGAAGCATTCTCCGAACCATACGAGGGCGTCTATGGGCGTCCCTCATAAATCTGGAAGCCAGATCCGCATTGCAGATCGCGAGCGCCTCCTAGATTGGATCCAAACGTTCACGCCTGTCCAACCAGGTTCCGCGCATGGTCGGTCATTCCAGGTACAGAGTAGAAGAATTCACCGCATCCCGGGCGCGTGGTCTTCCGGGCGCGCTCACAGAGTCTGCAGCCGACTAATCTCCACTCAAGGTTGCTCGACTAACTCATCCGAGTCGTCCATTCCATTCCGGCACAGTCGGAGTCGAGCGCTGCTCTACCTGTCATGTCAAATTCGACCGGTTGAATAGCACCGGTGCTAGATCTACGAAACACACGGCAGTCACACTCCCGAGTTCTCTGCCAGTCCACTGCCGCCATCCATGTCTCGTGCTCAATCGCTCGAATCGCGCAGAGTGAGCACAGGCCGCTAGTTCCCGGGGCCTGGCACTAGCACGGCGTGTCAGCCCACCTGTCGTGTCCTTGGACGTCGGGGTACGTCTTAATATTGGCGAATGGCAACATACGGCGTTCATGGCCTCGTTTATGTTGCCTGCCTCACTCCGACAGAGGGTATGCCGACGCCACGCTCCCGGTCCTCGCCTGTTCTCTGCTCGGTTCAGCTGGACGGAAGCCTGTGCTTCCATGCATTCGATACATCGCTACGAGCCTTACGCCAAGTATCGCTCCCCTCCTCCCATGTTCTGACATCGCCCAGGCGCCAGGAACTTGCCCTCTACGTAAGGGTTGTCACGGCGGGCCGAGGGGCGACCCCTACATAAAGCGCGAACCTGACAAGGGAAGAAACTCGCAGTGCCTCAAGTAACCCCCCCGTCTGCCCCGCACACACCACCTCCCCCCCATCATGTTCTTGTGGACTGCGCTAAGGCGGATCGTTTACATCGCCTACTCCTCTACCACCGATTTCCTCTATGTCGCCGGTCTCTACGTTTGGGACTTTGTCCTGGTCATCCTCAACCTCATCATCCCTGATTACGCCCACGGCAAGGTGATCAGCACCGGCAGCCCCGGCGCTGGCGGGAAATGGCCCGCTTACATTGCTCCTGAGGCGGGAGCCAGCAGGTCGCCGTGTCCGGGACTGAACGCTCTCGCCAACCATGGTGCGCCGCACGAGCGCCCTCCAACGGCATCATGCGCTAACTGAACTGTATCTGAACGAACAGGAATTCTTCCTCGCGACGGGAAGAACATCAAGTTCGCCGACCTCCCCGCGGCGATCCGCAAGGCGTACAACATGTCGCACCCGTTCTCGATCCTCCTCCCGCGCCAGGCCGCGCAGCTGCTCAACCGCGACCCCGCGAGCGACTCGTTCGACCTCTCCGACCTGAGCGTGCACAACATGATCGAGCACGACGCCTCGTTCTGCCGTACGTCGCCACACGCGCTTCTTCGTGCTGTCTATATCTATCTTCGAGACTGACCGAATGGTGGTCGCGTATGCAGGGAAGGACATCTACTACGACCCCCTGCAGTCCACAGAGGACGCGTCCGCCATCGACGTCCTCCTCTCGTCCGGGCCGCAGACGCTCGCCGCGGCCGACCTGTCGAACTTCCTCGGCAAGCGCCGCGTGGAGTGCCGCAAGAACAACCCGCAGTTCAGCCTCTCGCTCGGCCAGAAGTTCATCGGGAGCACCAAGTGCGTACTCTTCCTTTCGAATACCACACACGCTTGACGAGTGCTCACCTTTCCCGTGCAGCGCGGCCTTCATTCTGAAGGTGTTCGGGGGCGTCGTCGCGGACCTGCGCGCGTTCCTGGGCGAGGAGCGGCTGCCCGACGGGTGGGAGCCGCGCACGCGCCACCGGATGGGGCTCACGATGACGGAGATCAACCTGAAGATCGCGCACGTCGAGCTCGGGGTGAAGGAGGAGGTCGACGGGACAATGTCTGCTCCTCGGGGTCCGCTCGTGACGAAGGATTCGACGGCGGAGTAGAGAGGCCATGTTTGTTGCCGCTGTGACCGCTTCACATTACCATATTCTTGTCATCCTCTTGGAAAATCGAAGAACCGGTTTCGGTTATGCAACCCAGGACACGGCGAGGGGCCCCTGCAGAGATCATGTATCATTGAAACACTCGTCGACTACTGGCAGTGAGCACCAAGCCGGGGTTTACGTGCAGTTCCTGGACATGTCTGTGTGGTGCGGGCATGACCACAAGGTCGAGGATATCGTCGGTGTACGGCGGCCGGAGGATGGGTGATTGGAATTGTGTGCCTGTACTCCACGCGTCTATAGATAGCATGACCGCTTCGGTGTTGTACGCTCTAGTGCTGAGACCAAAGTTCTACTAACAATGAGTACTTCAATATCAAAGTCGTGGCCTAGGCGGAAGGGCACGGAATCTGTTTGAATGCCCCCGGGTGACCAACTCGACCCTCGCAGAATTTACAACTAGAAGCAAGCCACGCAGAGCACGCACCAGCGCGCTCGCTTTCCAATTACGACACCTTCATGTAGTCGAACACTCAGGTAGGCGACGCTAAGTGTCCTATTCCTAGTTCCCAGTGGCCTCTGCCACAAGGGCTTTTCCTGGGGCATTATGGATGGACTCTGCGCAGATCTGCTTGCGCTTGCCGCCCCGGCGAGCGTCTCTTCCCGGAAGTTTCCGTGGCGTGGTAGCAGTTTGCATCGGAGGTATCAACATCGTGTCCTAACGCAAATCCGTCGTATTAAGAACCGGTTGGGCATCCCATCGTAATCTCCTTTGGAATGTTTGATGAAATTCTGTTATATGCTAACTCGATTCACTGTGCAGTGTGCGGCTGGCGTAGGATAAACATGGGATGCGGCGAGGCATCGTTGTCTTAACGTGGCTCAGATCACTATACCGACTCTACGATGGGACACGTCGTCGTGTACTTCAATGCACCCGTTGTCGTCGCCTCTCTTCTAGAGCTAAGCGCGCCGACGTCCTCGCTTGCCGCCAGCTCTTTTACAGGGTCATACTCCAGGTATCTTGAATATTTAGCTGATGTTTGACGCACACAAAATGAGTCTACTGAAGAGCCCTGCGACATTCATGAGCTTGAGTCTTGCCCTCCGCTGACATCTACCAAACTCGACTAGGCAGGGCTCCAACAAGATGGTTTGGAATTTCGCTCATCTGTCTTGTGAACCCAAGAGGGACGCTGACTCTTACAGAATCAGCTCGGAGTATACAAAGCTCCTCTCGTAATCACGATATCTAGTCATTTGATGCAACCGGTATCCAGCAGTGGGGTTCATTCAAGCCAATAAGTCGTCCTGTTGGCCTGGACTGGATCGTCGAACAAAGGAACAACAGGCGCCTACTTATGCCCCGGCGCGCCTAAAGAGTGAACTGGGCGCTTTACAACCATCATAACCACTTCACCCATCGGCCACGGCCTCCTCTGCATTCTGTGTCTGACCTTTCGAGATACTTGCAGAACACACATATATAGCGAGAGGATGGCTGCTGCGATCCCCAGCTCACATAGTCCCATGTCGACGATGTCGTCTCCGCTAGAGGAGGTCGAGGCGAACCACGAGGGCTGTGGACAGTCGGAGTCCATTGGGAGCTACGGTATGTATACGCAGAACGAAGCTGGCCATCCTCTCCCGACTAACCATCAGGTCATCGCAGATCCTCTGGAAGCGAATACCGAGGACGTCGACGAAGACTTCTTGGCCAATCACCTACGCTCCCCGCCGACGTTTCACGCAACCGAAGAGATGCTAGAGAAAGTCGAGAGGATTCAGAACATTGGAACTACCGAGAAGAACATGTATCAGTCTCTTGCTTCCCTCTTGACCACTATGAGCGAAGCGTTGTACGGTTCGTCATAAAGTCTTCCCCATTTCTCTTACGACACCTGACGCATCTTCAGAAACCCTCACCGCAGACATGCAGGAGAAGCTACGCTCACGACATCGCGTTCCTGCTGGCGAACCAGGGCACATGACATTCATCAACCACTCCTCGTCTGCACCTTGCCACTTTCCCGCGGACAT